AAAAAAAAAACAGCTGGTGTATTTTCACAGCATCTAGATTTATTTATGGTATAAAGCCATAGAATTGTAATGTTATTACTCCTTTCCCACCCTGGCAGAGAATAAACATGAATTCAGAAGCACAGTGGAGTGAAAACAAAGAGAGAGAAAAGGCAGCAGAGAAAGACAGAAAAGGTGAATACAGAGCTACAGAAGTGTTTATTGAGCATGCTACAGAGGTAAGCAGAGTACACACAAAATGAAATTAAACAACCATCAAACCTCCCAACTTTGTTAGAAAATTAATTTTTAATTGTGCCGCTTCCAAACTATACTGAATTTTACATTTCTAAAGATGTAAAAACTCAACTAATAGAAAATATACATGACCATTCTGTCTACATAGATAACAGAATCTATGAATCTTGAAACTAAGTACATCAATTTCAAAAAGTATTGGTCATTTAACAGAATCAACAATTCAGATTGACAAGAACTGTTCAAATAAATTTGACCTGTAGATTCTGAGCCATGTTTTTATTAAAGTCAGATCTATTCCTAAATACAAAATATTTTGAAGATTTATTAAAACTGAATATTACAATGCAAGGTAAATTAAGACTAAAGGCACATAAACTTTGGTCCCACCTGGTTGTCAGTTTTCGAAAACTGCCACGAAATTAATCTTCCTGCAAATTTTCGCAGTATGCTTTCTTTGTCTTTGAAAAATACATGCACCAGTTCCTGAACTAGCTAGACCAGTCTGCACATGCTCAGAAATCCACAACCATATTCCAAATCTTAATTACAAACTAAGGATGGCAATATATATTTAAATGCACGTAAGTCATGTCAACTTCAAAAACATCTACGAAAAATATTCAGCCACAAACAAGACATTACTTAGTGCTGACATTTATATGATACGTCCCACAAGAGTGTGTACAAAAAGGTTAAGATTCCACAATGCTTTCCACATAGGGCTCAAACTTACAGAAATCACTTTGTTGTCTTAAGAAATTAATACTCTGCATCTTGTTAACTTTAACTAATGCCTACATTCATAACTGAATCTAGACCAGAATTGTGAGATACAAAAGGCCAATGTTTTTTAAAAAGCAATAAAGCCTAAGGTAGTATAAACTAAAAACGCTGCTTTATTCTTTCAATATCCAGTATCTTATCTGATTAAATAGAAAGAAATGCAATAAGCCAATAATTCAAAATAAGTTCCAAGCAGGAGAAACAAAAACTTAACCTTTTTACACACCCCTGCCTAAACATATTTTAATTCCCATATAACAATGTGCCCTAGACAACCAATTCCTTTTTTTTCTAGTAAATGCACAATAGCAACACTAGTTTTCCTTTTTAAGGCACGTTATGTCAACTAAGTTAAAAAAAGAAAGCAAAATTAAACTGAAAATTTAAACAGACAATAAAAATGGCTTCCCTATTGAACAGATGACGTATAGCAGTTTGTAACTCTGCCTTTACATATGCCATTTCATTTTATAACCAAGGAATGATAACAGCATGTGAAAACAAACAAGAAACAACAAAAAGAAAATCAAACTCTGGTCCCCACTTTTCTGAACAGTCAATAGGTGATGACACCAAACAATGTGATTCACCCCAAATCTTCTTCCCTCTCTTAAATTGTTGACTTGGAGAAAGACACTCTCAGATGATGGTTTTCACCAAGGTTATAATTATGCAGATCAATCAAGGCCTGAATAGCTTCTTCCACTGTTGCCATCTGAAGAAGAGCCATTTTGTGATCTCTTCTGAAACAAAATTATGAAATTAGATACTTCATAAAAATAGGAAGTGCTTAAATACTTTAATTTTGTGCATTCCAGATTAAGAAATTTCTAAAATCAATGAGACTAAGTACTTGAGGAAAATTTTTTTGTGTATCAAGTCACTAACTTATAAGATAAGGAAGCGTGCTTACTGAAAAAATTTAAATGCTTTCACAGTGCCGCCAGTGTTAGCAAACAGTGTTCGGAGATCCTCTTCTGCTACTGAAGGACTAGGAAAATTGGACAGAAAAAAGGGGAATGGTTAATAATAAATTTTATATTTTCTTAAAATTTGTATTCCTTATAATAAACACCAGTTAAAAAAACTTACGGGATATTAGATAGGTGAAGCGTGGCAGAAGGAGGAAAAATGTTCTGAAAATTTTTGGATCCAGGCTTCTTAAAACGATGCAATGGGGAATTACCAAAATCTTTTGTTAGCCCTTGATCATCAAGCCCCTCTCGTGGTAGTTGTACAGTCTGATGTTTAGAGAGAGTAACACGAATAATTTTTCCATACATTTTCTGTCCATTAAGATGATTCATGGCTATAATAAGAAAGCAAGCCTATTAAAATACTATCAGCTCTCAAAATAGAAATATTCTCATTTCAAAACAGCTTAAAATCTGTACATTTCTGATTATCTCTCAAATTTAAAAAAATCCTCACTCTCATTTGTCTTCCTGTTGGGTATCTCTGTACTTTTCTCCAACTCATTCTATGCATACAGCATTGAAATGACTCATAAATTTCAAATATGTCATATATGCTTACAAATAGTATTCTGCATAATTGTTTCATCACTGGTATCTTTGTTTTGATCTGCTCTACATATGAAAAACGTAGGATGAAAACCACCACTATGACAGATTTGCTGAACTCTACCTACTATTTATGATTTACAGTATGTAGTTTGATTGTTACTTCACTAGGTACACACATATATAAAAGTACTCTATTTTCCTAATTAACTAAAACTTTTAATAATCTTCATGCTAAATTTAGATTTCTTTGGATTACTATTTGCCCAATATACCTCTTTACATAACTTTTAATCTTTCCACATCTTTGTACCTCATGTGCCTCCTTTATCTTATACGTAGCTTTTAAATATCTTTACAGTGGGGTCATAATTCTATGTCTCACTGCCAGGCTGATTTTGAAGTGTTACGTTCTCACTGGCTCGAACTACCATGCACCACTGGGCATGCAGGACAGTCCCACTGGTAGGTTCAAGCTGCCCAATGGGAGAGTCACACATGTACCACTAGTAGCTCAAGCCAGTGGGAATGTGTTAAAAATTGAAACCTAATAACTTTTTAACTGATAAACCTGCTTTTTAATATTTGCCATTATTCTTGATGCATTTGGAATTTATTTTGTCGTAATTATTGTACTACCTTTCTCCCTTATTATCTCCCTATCATTTGCTATTAAATTCCTTTCCTTATTTGTTTTGGGGAAAACAGTCATTCGAGCCTCTATTAAAAGGCCAGCAATAATACCTTAAAGTGTGACTTAGAGCTGCCAACTACTTGTAACAGTGGAAATGAAAGCCAATACATATATATATAATATATATATACATACTTTAAAATTGCTCAAATGTAAACACAAAAGTAATATAATTTCTACTCACTTTATAGCATTTTTTATATAATTTAGTAGGTAAAGGTCTGTTACAATCAAGAACTAAGTAACTTTTTAGATGACAGTTGTACATTAAATAAAACAGGGATTTTTAAAAAGTAATTCTTGAAAACATAAATGGGAAAACTAGGTAAATACCATAAAGGAACTACTCACATATTTTACTAGAATTCAGTTAATCTTTGGAAATCAGAGTGAAAAATTTACAAATAATATTCTTAAAATAGCCAATTAAAAATACTGATCAGTTAAATAGTTTTCTGGTACAAAGTTCATCAAAGAAAAATCTTAATGCTTGCAAACTGTAAAACAATTTAGCATAACTTCTAACACATAAAATAATCACATTTATATTTAAAAATTACTAACTTTATGCCTTATGTTTTTTGCTGGGTATTTCTTAATGGAGATAATAAGTATTTCCAAATACAGTTCCATAAAAACCAAAAAGGGCAAGAACAGAGAAGAGAAACAAAGTGTATTTAATTCTATAATTCTCATTTATTTTCTTCCATAGCAAATCCTAGTTTTGTGTAGGATCAGAGTGTGTTTTTTTAAAGGCATTTCCAAGAAGAAAGAATCCATCCTAGCAGCAGTGATAAATAAAAATTTAATGCTACATATAGTCCAAAAATTAAGTGAAATTTTAGTGACAATCTTATGAAATTGAGGATACATGATTTACAAATAAAAAAATTGTAATGATTCTATGCAAAGCCAGACATTTAAGAAAATAATGAAGTAACATGAGTTCAGGAGTGTCCTTACAAGAGAAAAGGATCTTTTTCACTGTGTTTGCACAGTAAGAGCCAAGCAAATATAAGGGGAAAGGAAGAAGAGACTAGACCCTTCTCCAAAATACAAATATGAAAACCAAAAAAACAAGAAAACAAAAAAAAAAAAAACCAAAATACAAATCTGCTTGTAACCTGACCTGGCATCTAAAACTTTAATTTCTACTGTTAAGTCCCACAATACAGAATTTTGTTACGTGTAATCCAAGTACACGGTTCTGATAAAAATTAAAATATCACCCACTTAAAAATAGTTTTTACATAAAATAAAACCAAAATTTTGTTGAATTTTTACCTCAGGTATTTCTCCACCATGATGATCCAGCATTCCTAATTTATAAAAACATTTAGGCCAACAATAAATCAAAGTGATGAGGAAAAACACAAAATAGTTGAGACCATTTTGTTGACTATATCAAATACTACTTGCAGTGTACACAAAAACAGCAATGACTACATTTACCAGAGCACAGAATTCTGTGTACACAAACTGAAGAGATACAGTAAACACTTATGAAAGCAAAAAGAAAAGCAAATGCATTCACATAGCCAATCACTGACATTTAAATATAAAAACTAAAAGTTGGGCATGGTGGTGGAATCTCAGCACTGTGGTGGCTGAGGCAGGATGTTGGCCAGCCTGCACTACATAGCAAGACCTTATCTCAAAAAACTCTAAAAACCAAACCAAACAAAAAAATGTAAAAATTAAAATGAGATTTTGAACACTGGTCACTAATGATTTCCTACTCATATAAAGTGATTTATTTTTTTTTTCAAGGTTTATACTATGTTTGAATTGAGAACTGCAAATGTATAAGAAACATGAAGTTTAATCTTACCAAGCTGTGATTGGTTTCCATCAGCCATCTGTATTAGAGCACTGTCTTTCTTATTGTACAAAATCTTCACGCGCTGCACATCTCCATAAACACCTTTTTTGGAGTCACAGAGAGGTAATCCAAAAATGGAATTAATTTTACGTGAAAGCTGAAAACTATCTTTCTGACATATCAATGAAACATTCAGACAGCAACATGATCACTCATTCAATCTCATCATTCTTACAAATGAATAAAGAAGATCAAGATTTTGAACAGTGAATTTTGAAAAGAATAATTTCTGATAAACCCTCAAAGCTATGTGAATGATATTAAATTAAAGACCATGCAAAATAAATCAGCATGCATTAAAACAAATTTTGTGTCTATGGAGAGTTTTAAATAGCAAAGAAAAATAGCAAAAGATTTACTATTCAACTTTAAGCCAAAGTGCTAGCTACAAATAAGAATTAAAGTGAAACAAAAATCAAATCAATAATAAAAGTATAGTGCTAACAATAACATACCGAAGAGGGTAAACAGACTTTGGGGCGTAACCATCTTTAGAAGGAGAGAAGAGCAAGCAGCGTAAGACAAGAAGAGAGAAGAGTCGAGGAAGAGCGGAGATGAACAGATCATCCATAACGAAGGGTGGTTCCCGCAGAATGGTGAGGTGGTCATGGATCATGGTTCAAGGCGGTTAATTGGGGCAAGTTGGTCCGAGGAACATTTGTTCAAGCACAGAAGCATGAACATAGGGAATGGAGACAGGGAATGAAGACAAGGACAAGGAAAATAAAGGATAAGACAGGGAAGGGAATGGGCATTTGGGAAAAGACAAGGAAAGGGAAGGTGAACACACAGGGAAAAGGATGAAATGGGGAAGGGAAACAGCAATGCAGAAGAAAAAAATAAGGAATAGGGGAAACAAAAAAAAATAAAATATAGGTCAGTACATAGGAAATGCAGGAATTTGGTCAGAAAAATGGTTGGTTTATGTACTGTACAAGAAAAACTGAGTAAAATGTAGTCATCCAAGACAAATATGGGTAAAGTACATCTATATCAAAGAGTAAATTACAGCATTTCATCTCAACATAGGGAAGGAAAGCATGCATAGGAATTTTAAACTTTGAACTTTAACTGCATAAGCATGGCTGGTTATGAAATGCAGGCAAGTCTTAAAAGTTAAACTTTGATCCAAACATTTTAGCATGCAGAACTGTGAATGATAATAGCATTAAATGATAAAATATGCTTAATGTTCATATTAACAGAGACCAATTAAAAATAAAACATTTATATTACACATCATTAACTAATACTTTGAGCTTACCACATTTCATACCAGCTTTCATAGCAATCAAAATAAAATATATCACACATAAAATGTACAACTAAAGAAAATAACAGCAATTTTATTTAACAAGAAAGGGAGGGAGATAAAGTTGAAAAATATTTTTAGAAGACAATGACTAATAACTGCAAAGAAAAAATTACTAAGAAAGACTGGAAGAGTGCCTCGTCAAGATCTTTGGAAGAACCTTCAAAGAAAAATGTATTAGAGTAGTTCACATAAAATAAGATTTTAAAAAAATGCAATGACACATAAGCATGAAATGAACAAGCAAATAATTAGAAAAGGCAAAGGGCAAAATTTTTTTACAGTTAAATTTGCAAATTAGATCACATTTGCCTTTGAGAACAACAAAATGATACAAAGCCAAACTACAGTACTTCACCATATTTTTCTTAGGAAAAATAGGTAGCTAGGTTAAAATATATATACATATATAAAGAGATATGACTGTCTAAGCAAACAAAATATTACCTAAACAAGTACACAGATTTTATTCAGAAGTAGAAACATACAGAAAATACTTTGGCTAATGAAGGTACATAAAAATAAAAGGCAAGTGCAAAATGAAATAAACATGAAAAACTTCCACAAATGAAATGGAGTTAAAGAATAAACATTAGAAAATGATTTCACTAACCTCTTCATTTAAATTGCTAACCAACAGGACTGTATTGCCACCAGCTGAGACTCCAGGCATACCCACTCGGCCAGCAGCAGCTGCAGCAGCGGCTGCAGCAGCATTTGGAATAGCCAAAGGACTGAGAGCTCCTGGAACAGCTGCAACAGGAAGCCCTAATTTTAAAATAAAGCATATTTTACGAAACACACACAAGTCGTTTACAAAAACCAATTTAAGCGCGATGGCCACATGGCTTACGGCTGACCACTCCAAATGGTTCCTGAAAATTAATTTTGATATGTTTAGAAAAATGGTTTGCTGATGTGCAGTAGAAAAAAATGATTTGAACAAAATTATTAATTATTTGAACTAATATACTTACCTATGGAATGTTAAAAAATTACATATGCAATACTCCACCTCCTATGGAAAAGCAAACAAAGCATGAAGAAATGTATTTCTAAGTCAAGAGACTTGACAAATTCATTTCCATGGGTTACAGTGAGAAGTCATATATGAAAAATCAAGTATGAAAAATGTTGCCATTGATATAATGGTAAATCAACCTTTTTCCATCATCTTCTTCATAAGCTCACCCTCGAAATCAGTTGTTTATGAAACAAATAGTCAAAGTCTATTCCCAGACACAAATCACCTTAAATCTTTAATTCATTCAAGTGACCTAAATAATTGCTTAACAAAATGTGTTTGCCTTCTTAATAAACACAAGTTCCTGAAACTCAACAATCTCCAGGAGAAAGAACCAAAACTGTCACTCTCATCACAGACTTTGTTTAAAATGTTTTATCATTTCCTTATTTCTACTGCCCTGCTTCCCATTCTTTGTTGTCCTTTCTCATTAAGACCCCATATCTTCAATCATTCATTCTAAAGAAAATTCCCTTGTCTACCTTTCAATTACCAATATAATCAGAATACTCTTATCCCTTAAATTCTTAGTAGCTTATTTCTCAATAAATATTAGTTCACTAGAGAAATTAATAAAACGGCAATTTGGGGGGCACTTATGATAGCCAATTTAAATGACACTGACTTCCTGACATACTGGGTAGAACTGGCTTGTTCAGTAAGTTCACATTTTATTCCTTCTCTCTTTCTAGTTTTCATTTGTAAGAATCTACAGGTGCCTTTAGTTTCAGAGACAGTCTTTTAGTCAAGTTTCACACAGAAACTACTATGACTTTTCACTGGCAGTATGAAGAAGTCTTTAAAATTCACAATTCTTAAAAAGTATTAAACAGTACTCAAGATCCTAATGGGACAATTAGCAACGTGAAATAGGAAAAAAAGGACCAAAGGTGTAGGGACAGTGAGAAGGATAGGGAAAGGGGAATAAGGGAAAGGGAAAAGAAATAGAGAAAATGTAAAAATGGAATTAAAGTGTTTGAAGGTGGGGAGGGAAAGAGGGGTGAAGGGAGGGCGGGGACAAGGGGAAAAAATGAGAACCAAGACCTGTCATGTAAAGGTACAAGATCCCAGTAATGAATATAACTGTACTGTCTAACTAGAATATACCAATAAATTCAATTTAAATTTTTTAAAAAAGTATTTCACATAAAAATTTCCCTCCAACCTCCACTTAATTCAGCCTTTATCCGTTCTTTCACATCAGCAGTGTAATGATGTTTCTTATTTAGATTCTTGCTCTAAACAAATACATTGTATAGCTCTTTTCCCATGGTATTTTTAGGACACATTCTTTATTTTCCCACTTTTCTTTCTTTTTTTTTTAAATTTTAGTTTTGGAAAACCTTTAAAATAAAAGCAAAAGAGACTGAATGATGAACTTCCATTCATCGGGCGTAACAAGGGTCACCTCATAGACAATCTCATCCAGTCGCCCATTTTATGTATTTTTAAAGTAAATCACAGGAATAAGGATCTTATTTTAAAATAGGAAATCTCACATCTAGTGTTTATTAATGCATGGTAGTCTTTGGTGACTTTTTAGATCTACCACTGTGGATAGTTCAATCATTCAATCGCATTGCTAACTTTTCCATGTTGAATACTTTAGTTTTCATACTTCATAGATTATCTTCCATTTCACATTTAATTGGTATTTTCATTTTTTTGCATTCAAGTAAAGATACTTTCTAATTCCTACTAGAGCACTTACTAATTTTTTTCTTGCATTCTTTTGAAAAGTAACTTTACACTTATGGTTTTAACACTGTACTTCAGCATTTCTAGAGAAAGCTTTGGCTGAATGCACAGTACGGAAATTTCAGATGTAGTCAAATAATCTGTTTTCCTGCCCTGCTTTTAATTCACTATCTCTTAGAAGAAAAAAGTAACTTAAAATTCTGTTAAACTCCACAGTCTTTATAAGATCCAGAGCTGATGACAAAAACCAAAGAGAAAACAGAAACACCAACTACAATACATGATATGCAAAAGACTTCAGTTCCAAGCCTCAAAAGCCCATTTTACCAAAAAAAAGTTTAAAAAAACAAAGGACATTTATTTGATCAGCATTTTCCCACAATAAAAAGATTAAAAGATTACATAGCCAGGGATTTAGCTCAGTGGTTCGGTGGCCTGCCTTGCAAGCGCAAGGACTCAAGTTCAATCCCTGGTACCAAAAAAAAAAAAAACAAAAAGAAAGATTACATAAATTTCACTTTTGGTTCTATTCTTCAATTCTAACAGTCAAGAAATGATACTCAAGGTTCACTAACACACAAAAAAGGAGTACCTGAAGAATTATAGTTAAGTACAAAATTAAAACACTCTTGCAAATCCCCAAATCACTAGCATTTTCTCTGTACATCTCTTGGCTCTTACCATCTGTTCAAATACTCAGTATTTCATGTTTATGTACGAGAATTGTCCTGAACTTTGTATCCCACAATAAAGAAGTTCTGAAACATTTTGGCATCAGGACCCCTTTTATACTCTTTGCTAAGAACCAAAAGGGCTTCTGGTTGTATCTACTGATACTTCTCATAACAGAAAAATGGAGAACTTTTGTAAAGCACAAGAATACACAATCACACATTCTACTAGCTTTCATAATAATGAAGAAACAACTGACTTTACAGAGTTCATGAGTGATACTTTGTACATGTGGGATTGCTCAAAAAATGCTAAGGAATTTAAAAGTTGGATTTAATTCATTTTGAATAAAATATGTGATACATTTTTAAAGTTAAAATGTGCTTAAGTTACATACTAGTGAAACTTCTCAAATTTACAGTTCTAAGTTAACTATACTATTTTTTTCCTGTTTACCTCTCAAAAAATTACTAATTCATTAAACACACACAAAATTATCTATGTAAATTTAGTATCAAACTAAATATACCAGCCTCAGGTTAAAATACTTTATTTTTGTAAACAACTATTTTTTATAAGATACATTCCTACCATATCAATATACAGTTAAATAATCTAATGAAAACTACTTACCAAAAAATTCAAAGGTAGTGGAAAACTAGTTTAAAAAAATACTTCAAACATTTAAGGCACAACTGCTTTTTAAAATATCATGTTTTCTTTCACTGGGTTAAAGTAGTTTAGGTTAAAGCTTAGCGTACAAGCCCCAAAATTCCAGAAAAAGCTGTTTTTTAATAAATGATACTATACTTTAGTAGAAAGATCCCTCTTTCCTGTAAGGTGGGACTCAAAACATGAAAATTACTTCCTTATATTAAAGAAATAAAAAATCTTACCAGAAAAATGGAACATAAATTGTGTAACCTCCATTGTCTGTACAATTGTCTAAAAATGCTAATTCAAAATCCCATCATTTTTCCATTTTTTACCACTGTTCTGGATCACTATTCTACTAAGTCAGTTGATTCATATGACAAAGGACTTTTCTACATTCAACAGTATGTAGTATAATATAAAAGCACTTTAGGGCCAGGCCAAGGGATTTTCAGACATCTAAGAAGCTGAGGCAGGATATCACAACTTAAATCCTACAACTAATCAAGACCTTGTCTCAAAATAAGGGTCAGGGCGGCTTTAGTTTAGTGTGAAAATCCTGGTTTCAATTCCTAGTAGACACAGACTGAGAAACAGACATGGGGTAGTCACCATCTGTTCTTAATGACACTGGTGTTTTTTTCTTCCATTATTTCTTCTCTTGAACTCATAACTTTAAATCCCAAAATTATTCTTCAGTAGTCTTCTTTGAAAATTTTCTATATTAAATTTAAAATTTTGAATATAAAGATCTGAAATATTTCATAATGCACCATTTTTACAGTAAAGTTCTATAATACATATTAATTTTACATTAATTCTAGAATGTAAGATAATTTTATCAGTCTCTGTGAAACTTACTATATATCTAGATATATCAATACATAGATATCTATATAGATATGGCTAGTATCTAGATGTTAATATCTATATATCAACAAATCTACACATACATTTAGATCTATCTATTGATATCAACCCCAATAGGTTATTTTTACCTAAAGAAACAGTAAATTTAATGACTTACATCTTCAGGCAAGTGTCCATTTTCTGTTACTATAACAAAATACTTGAACCTGTAAACTTACAAACAAAAGAGAATTTTTAACTCAGTTTTGGAAAACTGAAAAATCCAAAACTGGGTGGCCTCATTTTGTTTGGCCTCTGATGACTGCTCCTTTGTTCCAGTAAGGCAAACAGCATCAGGGCAAAAGTGGATGTAAGAGGGAGAGATCACATGGCAAGAGAGGAAGCCCTGTGAGGAAGGATCAGTCCCATTCTTTTATAACAACCTTCTCTCAAGAACCAAAGATCCCATAAGAAATAAATCAGTTTTTTCAGAGGACAGACTCTCAAAAACTCAACAATCTCCCACCAGTCTCCACCTCTGAGCATCACCATAATGGGGACTAACTTTTCAACATACAAACCCTTGGGGAGAAACCACATCTGAACCTTCACTACAGCAGCAGATATGCTAGAAAAAATACTTATGAATGTGGATGATATGAATACATCCATGAATATATACATATTATGAATATGTACGTGTTCTATTCCAGAATCAGTGTGTAACAATAAAATAATGTAAAACAGCTTCTTCATAAACTGCCATATGCTTAAGAGAAGGAAAACATCACACAAATCTTTTTCACATGAAAACACCTTCATCAGCTGAGCCACACAGGCATTTTGAGTAATAGAGCAATGTTGTTAAGTT